TGGGCAGGGACCATATCCTGTTGCACAGCTGGGGGACAAACGAACATGGAAGGGCATAAAACATGGTGCTGTGGCTGTGTGCAAGCAGCTGGACTGTCTGCAGGAGGCATAGGAGCGGATGTATCCGTTTGGGACAACGGAACCGCAACAACCCGTGGAGGAGGCACAGAGAGAATTGGGGTAGACAAAGAAGCAGGCCGCTGATCCCTGGCCAAGTGGCGATGTTGTGCATATACATGTATACAATGTATACATATGTGTAGATATAGATATGTATACATATCTATAGAGGTCCCAATCATGAGACTTGCAGGACCAAATACAGGCCGCCTAAATTTGACGGCATGGCCAAGAGGAGGAGATCTACAAAGAAACAGTCAACAACCTGCAAGATGAGAGTTCCAGCAGGACAACCCCGACAAGTTCAGGGGCGTTTAGCTTTCTCATCTCTTCATCCTTTCTTGGTTTCATGTTAAATTTGGCAGGCTGGGAGGCAAACCTGAGAGGAAAGGTAGAGGGAAGGCAAGCTGAAAGTCCATCCTCCAGGCATCTGGAGCAATCAATGCTGTGCAGGGGTCCTTCGGCCAAACAGAAGGAAGCGTGAGGGTGTTCTTGTTGTATATCTGACTTGCCGGTGGAATAGGAACCGGACTGATGCTCCCCAGAATGGATATGGAGGCAGGTCCATGAGGTCCTGTTTTCCCAAAAAAAGGGGAAAAAAAAGTCTAGGAGTAGGTTCTAGGAGGGTACCGGCCTGAAAAGAGTGACTTGCAGATATCAGACTGAAATGATGTTCCCTCCAAAAAGGAACGGGTAGGCCCTGGAGGCTGCTCTGCTTGGAGTCACCACGGTAGAGGCAGTGGCCAACTGCTTGAGGAGGAGCATTAAGTTGCTCCGCCTCATCCTTCGGGTAGCCAGGCAGCAATGCTGCTGGACTGTGGACTTGGCGAGTGTAGTGCCAAGCAGCAGCAGCAAGGTGGAGCTGCCACCCATCCTCGCTATGGTGTTTAGAGCCAGGACGAGGTAGGAGAAGGGCACGGCTTGGAAGAAGTCGGGGAGGAAGGAGGAGAGTGAAGGAGAACGCTTATATGCATCTCCATATGCTTGGTTGGTGCTGCACCTGAAAGGCCCCTGGAGGGGGGTCCGATGGATGGAGGACTCCATACGGTGAGGTAGGCTTGGCAGTAGGAGTAGGAGCCATAAGCGCTTTGTGTTGTCCTCTGAACATCCGGGCTAAGCTTCGATGAGCTGTCATAGCTGGATGGTCAACCACGTAGTGGTAGGAGGTGTAGGAAGTCAAAGGTGGACTTCTTGTGAGGCCTGCAGTAAGGGGGAGATCAGGACATGTCAGTCTGTCATATTCATTCATTGTTATTGTTTATTCTGATTAATAAGATGTTGGTGGAGTTGTCCTTCGGGACATCCGTTAAAATTGGAATGATACAGAGAAGATTAGCATGGCCGCTGCGCAAGGATGAAACACATAAATCGAGAAATGGACCAATTTTTTTTAAAAGACAAATAATAAAAAGATGTTGGTGGAGCTGATGAGGAAGAAAGATGGAGGTGAGATGAGGGGGAAGTGAAATTGGTTCCAGCTTGTGTTCATCATCTTCTTCTTCGGCCATTCTTCATTCTTCTCCTCCCTTGTCTATTTCTCATTCCAATCTTTTTCATTGGAGAATCTGGAGATGCAACTAAACGGCATTGTCTCTTTTTGAGTTGTGCGTTGTGAGAAATGCAGGATTATAACACTGATCATTATCTGCCAACCATCGTGAGTAATAAATTGAGTTGAAAAAAAAATACCTTCTGGGCTTGTTTCTCTTCCATCATCTTACGGAATTGATTTACTTGTTCTCGCTTTGAACGATAGATGGCTTGCACTCTTAGCACAGCTTGTTCAAGTGCCGCTTGGTGATGAACACCTCCAACATTCCTCCATTCCTCCCCTTGCCTGTTTGACCTGAGAGTGTCCTTGTCTTTCTCTTCTTGAGCTGCTGAAAGCAGCTGTGCCTCAAGGCTCTTTCGCCTACGGTTCCGCCATTGGACGACAGCCACCTCAATCACCCTCAAAGCATTTCGCATCTTCCGATACTCTGTCCGTTGCCTTCTGCCCCTCCACAGTGCCTGTCAATGCACACAATCACGCGCAGTCATGCACCCAATTAATGAGTTGTTCTGTTCGGAATCATGTTTATGTTCGACGGCCATGAAAACATGATTGCAAAATGTTACCATCCTTCCTCGCCAATACTTGACCGACCCTTAGTACCTTACATTCTTCACTCCATTGCTGAGGTGTGAGCGGGGTTACTTTGGGTGCTTATGACGGGAGTCCCTAAAACTGAGAAAACAGCTCCTGAGAGGGAGCAGAGAGGGGCCTCGAGGGGAAGGGAGGAGCAGGCGTAGGAAGGAGGTTCGAAAGGCTGAGGGAGGGGGAGTGTGACAGGGGTGAGGGTTGAGGTTCAGCAAATGCAAGATGGCCAGCACTCTGACAGTGATGAGGGGGAAAAGGGTGGTCCTATTCGGGATTGGGCTGTAACTACCAGAATGCAGCATAGTAAATAGGCTTCTGCAGGTTATTGACACAAAGATCAAAGACCCTGCCAACCATGAACAAAAGGAAACTAGAAACCCCTCCACGACTCCATGATAGGCCAATAACTTATAACATCTGGGACAGCTGGTTCATGGAGAGTGCAGAGAGGAAGGTGAAGAGGGCCAGAGGAGAAGTAGATGGAAAGAAACCTGCAGCTTGACGATCTTTTTCCGTTTCTGTACGAACTCTCTCCGCCTTCTCCAACCACGGTACACCTTCTGAATCTTGGTTGCTGCCTCTGTGCGCTTTTTTAATTTCTTTTTCTGAAATCCTCGATACGCTCTCTGGATTTTTCTTGCTGCAAACAGCTTCCTCACCTCCCTCTCGCTTTCCTTCTTTCGAGCATAATACTGGCGATACACAGCTTGAATCCGGCTGGCAGCCCTGGCTGCTCTGTATACAGCTGCTTTTGCTTCTTCTTCATCTTGCGGAGTTGAGTCCAGATATTCCTCATGTGCATCTTCATACAACATGGCTCTTGCAACTGCATCCTGTCCAGCTTCGTGAGCCTGGATGCTAGCCATGATGCCAGTACGGGATAACTCTGAGGAAAGCATGTCCTCACTTTGTTCAAGTGTGCTCAGGGAAAGCATGGCGGAGATTGCTTGGTGTCCTGTCATTCCAGCAAGCTCTGCAGCTGTCCATGTATCTTTTAACAAAATTCCTGGCAAGGCACCTGCTGCCAGTAGTGTTGAAACTGTCAAGTCCCTGCACATTCAGTTCAGAAGTGAACGGAAATCCCCAAAGTCATATTCATTACACACTGATACACAGTTCATCCATGAACAACAGATTGCAGTGCTATGAGATCAGCACATGCATTGAGAATACTTGATCAAAGAATTTTCCTCAACTTACCCATCTTCCTATCTCCAAGTGATGACAGAATCCGGGTCCTTTTTCCCTTTTCTACAACTCCTTAAAGGAACAAGTAAGGCCAGTGTGGGTACAGATGCACACATGGAAATATCAATGAGATATCCGGTCTAAATATATAATCTCTCTCTCTCTCTCTCTCTCTCTCTCTCTCTCTCTCTCTCTCTCTCTCTCTCTCTCTCTGTGTGTGTGTGTGTGTGTGTGTGTGTGTGTGTACCCATCTACAGATCTCATGCTCACCGCTGATATTTTTCCTGCTCGATTCAAAATCATTAGAGAACCATTTTCCATTTCCATGCTCCTTCGGAGGGGCCAAACTCCATGTGTGGGACTCCTCCTTTGATGGGCAAGCACATCACAACTTACAAACAGAAGACGGAGAGAGACACACAGATGGAGACTACAAAGCAGGCGCCAAAACCAGAGTTGAAACTGAAGGGAAAAGCCAACCTCTCTCTCTCTCTCTCTCCCTCCCTCCCTCCCACGTCGAATCTTAGTCAGGATCTTATTCCTTGAGATGCAAGTAGTTGAATCTCTCTTTTTTTTTTTTTGTTTTGTCAATGAATCTTTCTTTTCTTGATGCCAGGGATAGAATCTTTTGTTTCTTTTTTGGTGCCGTATTCTGTTAGAATGAGTAGCTGGTGTGACCCTCTCCCTCGGCTATTCAAGTTCCATCCCGCAAGAGCGAAGGGTGACTGAGAAACACCCCCCTCTCCCTGCGCATTGAGAGAGAGAGAGGCAGTGCGAGAGAGAAATTGGAAAGGAAAAATATTGCTAAAGCGATATTACGAACACCTTCTATTGTGCGGAACAGAGTTCAACGTTCGTTTCAAGGAGGATGAAGATTCAAAAAACGCTGATAATGAGAGCACATATACGGTGAGAAGGCTGTACTACCGCTGTAGCATGTCGATGGATTAATCAATACTCGATTATGTGGTGAGTTCCAAGAAACAGAGGCAGAAAACCGGTGAAGCTGATGACTGGACGTTCTAGACTGATTTTAGTCAATCAAGTCACCATTTCATCACAACGCAGAGCGGATGAGCATTTGATTTTGATGTCAATCACGCCGCCATGGGAAAAACATGAAAGAGGAGAGATGCATCGGTCTGGCAATAACCCCCACCAGAAGAACGGAGATCCCCCCCCCAAAAAAAAAAAAACATATGATAGCAATTCGGACACAGAAAGACGAAGTAGACTCTGGATGTGAAGAGACGGCTTCGTAGGAAGGCACAAAGCCACAAATTGAAAAAGGTATAAGAAAGTGTAGAACTCTCAAAAAATGTGCGATGAAAGATGTTCGTCATCTTCGTTTTTTTATTTTTTAACCATTTTGAATCATATAGGGTGGGACTCTGAATGCAGATGGGCGTGCCTCCTTGAAGAAAACATAGTGCGTCCGATGATTACAAGCTCACTGGGGTCTCTCTGTCCTGTCCCTCTCGCCATCTTTTCCTCCCTCACTCTTCCAGTTATCTTGCTATTATCTTCTCTCTCCATTCTCTCTACATCCCGCTCTAGGGGGTGCATGCAGTCATTAGTGATCGTCAAATGACCTCTCTGATGCGCCCTGGGCTTAATGACCGTCAAATGCTCTCTCTCTCTCTCTCTCATGTTCTCCCTACCCACTCGTTTCTCTCAATTGTTCCTTCTCCATTCCTTTCCTTCTGCCTGTCCTATTCCATCTTCAATTTGTGCCCTTCATCTCCCTTCCCGATCTTTTCCCCACCAGTCCGCTTGTCCCCATCTTCTTCTCTCCTTGTCCTGTGTCTGTTGCCTCCCTCTTCCTGTCTTTCTCGATGTCTTCTCTCCTCCATTGGGATCCTCTTCAAGTTCCTACTCCAATACTCGATGTCGACCCTGCAGATCTGGTGTGTCCTTTCCTCTCTTCCTCTGTCTGCCGCTTTTTCTTTCTTCCTTGCTCTTCCACTCCATCACCTGCATATACACGTTCACCCTCTCTCTCTCGTGATTTGCGCTCTTTGTCATTATCCTACTCTCCTTTCCTTACAACCTTTTCCCTTCCCTCCGCGCTTAGCCCCTCTTCGTGCCTTGCAATCTATTCTTTCCCACCTCGTCCGGATCCCCTACACGACCTGCATGCCTTACTCTGCTGTGATGTTGTCCATTCTTTTTTTCCGTCCTTTCCCCTCCACTTCATCGGTTAATACATCCTCACCCTGGTTGGCTGACATTGCGACCTTCCCCTCTTCTCAATCCCACATCCTGATCGGCCTCCTCCCGATACATGCGGCCCATCCCCCCCTTCACAAATTGTAGCCCCGCTCTACATCCTCCTCCAAGTTACTTGAGGACACTCCTCTGCGTCTTCTTCCACCACAACCTCCTTGACGCTGACAATCTTACTTTGCATGCTTCATCCCATCCCGGTGGCCCTCCTGCTTCCTCTGTCGCCGCATCCCCATCCTGACTGATCATCCCAACCCTCTCATCCTCATGATCCCACATCCTCCCCCTCCCCCGTCGTCCTTCTCCTGGTACTTGAGCCCCTCAAGATTTCAATGGCTACTTTCTCTTCCCGGCGTGACCAGGCACCTGACGCCCCCGTTAGTTTCCCTTCTCCCCCTACCTCTCCACGGCATGATCCGCACATCGCATGATCCCCACGTCCGCCGTCCGATAGTGGCTGTGGACAAATCCTGGCCTGCTTGCAACATAGTACCCCCACAAAATGGAGCTGGAGCCCTAAACGAACGGATGGATGGATTGAGGGGAGGGATGTAGGGATAGACGGGGGCCAAGAGACGGGGAGAGAGAGACGGTGCAATTCACCACGCAGGGCAAACCCGAGTGTGAATGGAACTCTCCACCCCTTCACGCACAACCCTGCTGACAGAGAGAGAGTCTGTGAGTCGTTGCCCCCCTCCACGCGCTTCTGAACGCAGAACAATTATTCCCCTCCTTCGATGCGCCTCTCAACGCACAACACGTGTGAGTGTGTGTGTGTGTGTGTGTGTGTGTGTGTGTGTGTGTGTGTGTGTGTGTGTGTGTGTGTGTGTGTGTGTGTGTGTGTTGTCATATTCACTATGCACTCAAAAAAGGCATGACTGTGCCAGATTGTTTCGTCCGACTTTCACCGACTCATCAGGAGGTTGCACCTTGACAGTCTGCCCAGGATTCATTTGACTGATGGATAAGGCTGAGCAGTGGTCGACTTTACTCACACCAACCTTGCAATCCTAACAGACTGCCAGTCCAAACCCTTGACAAGAACGGTAGTAAGGCTGAGAACTAGTCTGACACAGTCATAAAACCACTCCACACACCCACTCAGCCATCGACACCCAATGGCATGACCACTAGTACGGTCCTGACCCTAGCCGCATCGATCCGCCTGAACGGAGAGCTTAGCAAGGCCATGCTGTGTGTTTGTGTGTGTGTGTGTGTGTGTGTGTGTGTGTGTGTGTGTGTGTGTGTGTGTGTGTGTGTGTGAGAGAGAGAGAGA